TTGCATAACTTGATCGGTCTATAGTCGGACCAAGATCTAGGTCCCGATCTCTTCGAAATCAAAATAATTGAGGTTGTTGTGAAGGACTCTGGCATCTGGTGGCCAGAGAAGAAATCCCTCACAACTTCCTCTACATTAGTTCCCACAATCTCCCAGCAAGACTAGAAGAAGAGGGACGAAAAACCATCCGGTCCGGAGACGCTGTTGGGATCGATCCCAAACACAGCCTCCCTGACTTACTCCTTACTCGGGAGGTCACAGAGGTCGACGAGGTGGACCGACTGTGGGATGGTCGGAAGAAGGGTCGGGTCGGGGTGCGTAAGCAAGTCTCGCTCAGAGGAAAAGAGAGTGGAAGTAAGCCCTAGCCGACTCCCGTATCTGGGACTCCTGGGTCACGGATGACCCATTATCCTCAATACTATGGATATACAACTTGACTCGCTTCTGCCTCACGAATCCCTGGAAGAACTTGGTATTACGCTCCCCCTCAGCCACCCAGCGCACAGCAGCCTTCTGCTTCCAGAAATCTTCCTCCATAAGGAGGCGTAACTGGTACTCAGCATGGCAACGGCGCATCTCGGACCTATTCTCTGACGAAGAATCCAGATCATAGGTCCGTTCAGCCTCCACATACGCAGTCTGAGCTGTAGTAAGGAGCTGAGAAATGTCACCAAAAGTCGTCCAGTTCTATTGCTTTAAAACGCGACGGAGTCTCTCAGCTTCTCTTCCAGGTTACGCATCCTATAGTGGTGCGTAGCCTGCTGCCAAGAAGCTCTAAAAATATCATGGTAAGAATTGTGTCGAACCCACATATTCTGGAAACGAAAGGACACTCGCCGAGGGAAAATAGAGAACCGACACAGAATCAGAAGGGGGGCATGATCGGATTCAATTCGAGGAAGGTGTGTTACAACCGTGGTCGCAAACACCCTCGTCCACGCCTCTGAGTATAGAGCGCGGTCGAGCCTCTCCTTGACTCTGGCCCTCTCCCATGTAAAGGGAGCCCCTTCGTATCCAGCGTCGATTAGCTCACAATCCAATACAGCGTGCGAGAAATATAAGATCTTCGTTGAGCGATCCGATACACCACCAATGCATTCATCGGGATGTAAAAATATGTTGAAATTGCCGCTAACCTTCCACGGTAATCCCTCAATACTCTCAGCAATCTCACGCATGGTGTCCCAGAGGTCATAACGACCAATCCTTGCACAACTGGCATAAACCAAGGTGTGGAAGATCGGCTCCGGAAGGTGGGCGGCGATGAGCTTCACGTGCAAAACCTGATCAGTATCCCGAAGGATCTGACAAGTAAAGTCACGCGAGTGGAAAAACCAAATCTTGTTAGAGGTGTTTCCCATCCCGGCATGAAAGCCAAGGCGGCGCGATTATACGTCAAAGAGGGGTCACGAGTCATAGGCTCTAAGAAAGCCGCAAAGTCAAAGTTATGCTCACGAATGAGAGATTTAACATGGGCAAGGGTGGTCCTATTAGCCAGGCCACGGGCATTCCATGTAAGCGATGTGACTGACATGTCAAATGTCAGTGGGTCCGCTTAACTGGAGCTGTCCGTGGTTAGACTGTGTCTGTATGTCTGGTAGAGTCAGAACTCGGCTAGCAGAGAGCTGCGCAGTTCTCGATCTGGTATGTGGTCTCCGGTGCTCAAGGACCTCCTGGGCAGGGCCCTCTCGCATGGGAAGAAACTCTGAAGGTAAGAGAATGAGCTGAAGGTGCTCTACACCATTCGTTCTCTGCGCCTGGCCCTGTGGGGAAGACGGACCAAACTCGGCAGAGGGGGATGTGGGGGAAGTGGAAGGAAGGGTCAGAAGGGGTCGAACTTGTAGAAGGGAGAGAGGCTCAGGCTCAGCCAATGAGATAGGGTGGGGGGAGGGCTCTAAGATCTGACTGGGAGCTGAGGGGGAAAGAGGGGCCTCAATATACAGAAGGCTGGGAGAAGGCTCTATCTCATCGTTTAGAAGGTTGTCGTCATCAAAGGGGGAGCTGGTCGAAGCTCCTAAGCGGTCGGAGGAAGTGGGAATCTCCTCCTTCGTTTCTGTGTCAAGCACAGAGAAGCGAGAGTGAGTAGCCATAGAGATAGACTAGAGAGACTGATGAGGGAATAGACCTGTGACTTCGGCCTTAGTCCCATTCAGAATAGCCTCCTTGATCCAAGTGGCCTCAGAGGTGACCTTACCCTTGCCCTTTTGTCCCTTCGGGTTGGAACCGTGGGCAGGGGCCTTGCCCCTCTCCTTAGGGCTCCCCGGGGCGTCAGTAGGGTTCTGCCTCCCTACACGCCGACGTGGGGGCAAATCGGGTCGGGGCTTGCCGCCCCTGGTGTAACATTCTGCAGCCCCATGTCCTACATGACTACATAGGGTGCAGAACAGGGGGACTCTCTCGTAGACCACTTTTTGAATAGTGGTCTTGCCTGCTTGGTCAAGCTCAATCTCCTTGATGAGCTCGTCCCTGAGGTCAATCTCCACGCACACCCGTGCGACAGATAACCTCGAGCGGTTTGTCATAGCGGCATCAGTCTCAATGGGGTTGCCAATGCAGCTGGCAATCAAAAAGAGGGAAGAGGGGTCGAAAAGGTGTGGTAGAAGTCCCGGGAGGCAACACCACACCGGGACGATGAGGGATTCCTCAACAAAAGAGAAATCTAGGGTATATTTAAACACCCGGCCAGAGCATCCAAAGATATTGAGATGCGTCTTAATCCAAACCGAATTGTAGTCCTCTTTTAACTCAAAAAAGAGTAAATAATGGTTATAATTAAGGAACTTAGGGGACACTCAACCCTTGAAACCCAATTTGACCAAACCGACAGATAAATCTCAGAGGGAATGGACAGTGAATGAAAACTTCAATATGAGTGCATTATCAAACGACCCGTCTAGGGAATTAACAGTGGGCTCGGGGAAACATACCTTGAACCTGCCTTCCTCGAAGCGAGTGATTGTCCCTCTCTGTTTGTCCTGGAATGATTCCAACATTAGCCTCTGTTGGCCCGGTTTGGCGGTGGAGGTGCCCGATACCGCGTCTCGAAAAGAACGCGCTCCGGAAGGCCGGGGGCCTTGGATCCCTGGTTGGGGAGGTGGGTTGTTGAGGTTCGGTCCTTGGGCATGGATGCCCTTTTGTCGATGCTCGCTGAGCTCTTCCGGAGGCGAGGTGGCTGCCGAGTAGGGTCCACGTCCAAGCAACCCGGTCGTAAGAGAGGTCTGACCGGGCGGAGGGTGTATCGGTAAGGTGGAAATCGCTGGGGTGGGGGGGCCCATAGGAGAGGGATTCATCAAGGGGGGCGCCGCCCATCTGGGGCTGGTTGGCGCCGAAGCCGGAGCCGACCGGTGGAGTACCGTCTGGCAGCAGTAGGGTGGTGGCTGACGTTAACGCCGGCAGGGACAAAGGCCGGTGATCGGGCTGAGAATTGGGTCTGTAAAGGTACTGTGAATTAGGTCTGTAAAAGGGTTGTGGTCGTGATGGGTTGGGCCCGATTGGTTGAAGAGAATTGTGGAGAATATTTGGGTCTGATGGGAATTGGGCCCGATTGGTCAGTGATATGTAGGAGAATTGGGCAGAGAGGAGGGTTGGGCTAAAGTGGGAGGCGGCCCACATAAGAAAATGACCGGGTCTGAGTTGGGCCTGGGGAGGGGCCCAAATTGACGGCCCACATGATGGTGAGCTGAGGGGATTTCAAATGCCACGCAGCTAGGGTTTGACTGTGAGCTAGCTGTTACTTGCGCCGTGTGGAGGGGAGAGATTGACGAAGATGAAAATGGTCTTGTTGGTATCGAGCCAAATGTTCCGGATAAGGGAGGTGAGTTCCAGCAGTCTGGCCGACCTGGCCAACATCGGCGGTGGGAGGGACAAAGCTTCCCGGAAGAGGATCACCTGCGAGCGGCAGAGCTGAAATAAGGCCCAGTGAACCGGCGATTGGCGGAGAGTCTACGGTGCGATGACCACCATGGGGCGTCGAAGATCCTATTCGGGGACAAGGCCGGTCGATTGGCTGAAGGACGAATTTGCAGATCTTTTTAAAGTTGGTAGTCCAGGTTGCGATTTTGGCGTGAAAGGCGCCGGCAGACAAAGTCTGATGGTCGGCTGTGGGCCCTGTGAAGGGCGGTCTCTCGGCGTTCAGATGAGACGCCATGGAGGAGTGGGAGGTAGTGGAGAGAGAATGGCGGGGGGAAGAAGCGGGGGGAAGAAGCGGGGTGAAGGCGGGGCCGAGCCCCAAGGGCGGGCGGCTCGTCACCGGCGAGACCTAGCTGAAGGAGGAGATCGGAAAGCAAAAGAGGGAGGGGAGTATGAGGGAGGGTAGGGGTGGGGATTTTAGAGAGAGAAAGTTAGAGAGAGATGAGAGCATTTTGTGTGCTCTCAATTTCTGAGTGGAGGTATTTCGCCTGAAATTATCAATTCAATACAAGTGTTTGTAACATAGATAACAATGTCACCATTAAATTGAACACATTCAATACAAGACATAACTATAACGCGACTGCCTCGTATCAAAATGTCTGAATTCATGCATATAATGGAATGAATCATTTGCGTGCTGCACATTTTCAGCTTCAAATTTATTTTTTTTTTCCCACATTTTTTATGCAAAAAAAAAAAAAAAAA